TAGCTTTCCTCTCAAGCAAAATAGCACCTCATTTTTTTCTCCTTGATTTTTTCGGGGATGAGGGGAGGGGTCTCTGATTCCCTTTAGCTTGACTGCATTTTATTTCTTAGAGGAATAATATTTTAAGGAAACATTTCACCTTACTTTCGAGTTTCAATTCAATGGACGGAATAATGAATACTAATATAAATACGGCCAATCGCGACTTGCTTGGCAAAGCCTTCCCCATAGCCTAAACTACCGAAATAGCACAAAAATACTTACTCGACTAGTTTCGCATCTTTTCAACTCATCAATCGGAGTGTCTCTATCTTCATAAAACTTTTCCGCCTCCTTTCCTCTGAGTGCTTGATTTTTATTTACCTGAAACGTAATAGGCATAATATTTACCACAGATATGTATATACAGAATAAGGGTAGAAGATAGAGTTGTTATTTTTTTTATCCAGAATCTAGCGAAACGTAATAAAAGGCTTATGATTAAGCCTCTTCCTTTCTCACAGACATCGAAATACAAAAAGTTAGCCTTGCTCAGGAAAATCTCTCTCCTCTTACCGATCGCCTCTTTTGCCGTAACCATTGTAAGAGATCACCATACGGAACATACTCTATCACCAGAAACTTGGTGTCCTTCAGTGTGCAGCATCCGACCAAAGACACGATATTCTGATGCGAACCCAACAGCTTCATTTGTAATATTTCATGAAGGAAAGCTTCTCTTTGCTCATCGCTTGGATCACCTATGGATAGATGGTATTGATGCTTTTAGCGATTGTGAGTCCAGTCTTAGACCCTTGGGCGTTTGCAACAGCCCTTGGATTGAATAGGATGCTTGAAACTCCACGAGAGTAGCAGCCATCTCGATTATTACAGCGCGTACGCAGGTCGTGAACTAGCCCCTTCTGGCTTGATATGTTAAAAGGAAAGCTTGCAAGATGTTACCAGTCGACTTATGATTCCATGCAACGGCAGATCCTTTACTTAGCGATTAAAAATTTCATTTTGACGGTGTTTAAGCGCTATTTCTACTAACCCTGCAATACTTTTACCGCAACAACTTGACATTGTTTTTCTGGCTTTAGTCTTTCTCTTGTTTCAAACACTTCTATTCCAGCTCTTCTCGTAAGAGTTGCTTTGTAAACCACACCAAATGCACCTCGGCCCAGTTCCTCCTCATAATGCACCTGCTTGGGAAGAATTTCCCACTTGTCAAGAGGAATAATCTCGCGGAAAGGACGCTGAACATGTCTGTTGACAACACAAATTTGGATTCAGCGAGAGAATATTAAATGACTTAATAACTGATAGCGTTTTCATCATTAAGACAATAATTACAGTTAACCCTCTCCCCTTCTGATTTAGCACCATATTCAAAACCAACCGCGCTGAAGAGTAATATTTAGGGAAAGTCTTTAGAAGATATCCTGATCAGAGCAACAACAACACATCTTCCTAGCATAATTCTGTAGTTCTCTCCTAGGCTGCAGTGTGACTGCTTTCTCATGTCATGAGCCAACCCGTCCCATTCCCTCTACTTCTCGGTCGTGAACTTGAAAGACGCCAATTTCGGGATCTTTGGAAGCTCAAAAATAATAATAATAAAAAAATAATAATAATAATAAAAATAATAAAATAATAATAATAATAATAATAAAAATAATAATAATAATAATAAAAAAAATAATAATAATAATAATAAAAATAATAATAATAATAAAAAAAATAATGATAATAATAATAAAAATAATAATAATAATAATAATAAAAAATAATAATAATAATAATAATAATAAAAATAATAATAATAATAAAATAACCAAAATAGTTGCTAAGTTAACTTTTTCGATATTTTTTATTCGTGGGACAATAAGATTTACTTTGTTGATAGAAAAGTTTTTGGGTAAGTGGCGCTTTCAGAACTAACAGATTGAGAAACCTAAAGCTAAAGAACTGCAGAATAATTGACTCAGCTTGTGGATCGGAAGCAAGCGTCATCTGTTTGAAGATACTAACGTTAAGATCACCCGACCAAACGATCGTTCTGTTGTTGTTTTTGACATGCATATACACCATGCAGAGGAAGCTTACAGAAATCTACATAAGCCGTGATTGAATTGTGCTTGTTTACCATAATAACTATACTGAGCTTGTGAACATTACCTTTTTAACCTAGCGTGTCTTTTACTTTTGTAGCAGCGAAGTCCCATAATGCAGCACAGCACGAGTATCACTACAAAGGTAGCACCAGCCAAGCTGTAAATAAGGGCTACAGAACTCATGGCCTCGTTTTTCTGCGTTTTGATTGCAAGGGTAGGTGTTTTGGCCATGATATCCGGTGCTGCGACTGTTGCTGCTGGAAAAAGTCAAATCTAAATAATCAAAGAAGCGTTTAAAACACGTAATCGTAGTAAGTAGATATTTAGAAAAAATTATCCAGCTGAGGCCAAGTTTTTCCTCTATCATTTACACAAAAATACAAAAAACGAATCATATTTGTGGT